CTTACCATTGAGACACCCGATTGAGGCATCTGGGGTACTTGATAGTAATCGAAGGACTGTTGTTGGGCCATGGTTCGATTCATGGAGGGGTAGATGTGTCCAGGGGTTGTTGTTGTGGTGAGTTGATTGAAGATGTGTGAGTATGGTGGCGTTACTCGGGGGAGTGAAGACCAGATATGTGTGTAGGTGTGTGTGTGCAAGTGCCGGATGGCGAGATGTGTAGTTGTATGATGATGTTACTTTGGCGATTGAGGCTGATGGTTCGAGCATAGGACAGGTGGGGAGACTACTCGACGGAGGGACAAAGCTATATACCTACAAGTCGATGAAAATGCAGAAACCAAAAAAAGAGGTGCGTTTCCCAATTGCTTGGCAGAGGGCGGCCGGGGTAGAGCTCCGCGGCGTAGCATAGGGTGGGCCACCTGGCGAGAATTGGGGGTGATGAGGGCCATGGTAAGGCGGGCGCGGGTTGGAACGGCGAGCAAAACTGGCGATGGACGGGCTCGTCATACGACCAGCCCATGGACAAGGGACAAGTGACAGAAAAAGGTACGACTGCGGGTGTGCGCTACGGCAGCTCGTGCGGCGAGCACACCTTGTACACCCCGGGGGAGCAGAGAGGGCCTGGCTGACGGTCACTTGCCCAGCAGCACAGCAGTAAACGAAGAGAACGCCGGGGGGTGGATGCTTGGGATGGTGCGGGCGGACGGATCCGACGGTGGAAAGACTGATGATTGACATAAGATGTGCTGTGGAGTTTACTTTGACACATGCACGAGGGAGGATCCCGAGTCGGCAAGCGGTCCATTAGGACGGCGTACCTGGTAGGGATGTTGGGAGAGGCTAGGGGGCCGCCGGAGAGAGGTGACCGCCCGGTGGCCCTATGTCATCCCTGATCCATGGCACCCAACCGTGGAAACTGCTGTGCTCTGCGTTTACTTGTGGATTTCTGGTGCTATGGGAAAGCACATCTGGTGCTTGGGAGATGTGATTCCGATACAAGGCGTTTGCGGGCGATCTGGAACGGAGAGAAACGGTGCATGCTGCGCAGTGCAGTCTCCAATGAGACAATGTCTTTGCCCACCGAGCAGACTCGAGTCCCACGCCCTGACTAAGAACAGAGACATCAGAGGGCGAGCTCGGAACGGTGACAGGGTCCGGGGTGGATGGGCAAATCCCGGACCGGGCCACGACGAGATGGAAAGAGAATAGAACGATAGAGGGGCGGATGGGTAGCTTGGCGGGAGAGGAAAGCCGTTGCCAACTTTGAGCGTTGGCTAGCTACCGGGCAATAAGCCTCAAGCTAAATTGCGAGTACGGGCACATGAGGCCATGGGGCGTCGGAAGCGAGCGGTTTCTTTGCGATATTCTGCCCCGGCCGTCATCATCTTGCATAAGATCTGGCCATCAGCAATTCTGTCGCTAGTCATTCTCTCGATGCCTTCAGATTGCGAGCCGCTTCAGTTGTTGCAAAACCTTGGACACGGCGTCAAGACCTTGGTTCGGATGCTTCAATCTCGTGCGATGCCATGCAATGGGATGAATCTGGATCGCAGGGACCCCGAAAAGGGACCACCCCAGGACGTCAGTTGGCAATGTCCCGAGACCCCTCAGAACCAAGATCCCGTCCTCATCGGCCGAGATGGAGCGCATGTAATTCCTGACGGCGTCAAAAAAGTGAGGTGTCAAACATTACATAATTGGCGAACGGGGCCGGTGAAGGGGAAATTGGTGTTGATGGACGGGCAGTGATGGGAATCCGAGGGCTGGGCATGTTCCTGACGTGCATGCGGTCGCTGTGATGGCGTGGGCTGGCTGTGGGTATCGCGTGCAAGGTGCATGTGTCGATGTCGTCGTGCCTTGCTTGATGAAGATGTTTTGGCGGCAGTGTGTTTCCAGTTGACTGTCGAGTGTCGTTGACATGCGTGCTGGTGCATGTACTACTTTTGGGAGTGCAAACGGTCCAAAACGGTTTGACAGGTGGCCCACGGCAGGCAGCGTGCGCCGCGGGATCGAGATCTCCAGGGTCCCCTCCCTCCCACGCCCGCCCACGTCTCCCACGCACTTCCCACTTGGGATTCCACTTCCCTGGCACGGACGACGAGTGTGCCAGGTCCCAACCAAGTTCTGGAAGATGGGTGCTTCGAGGATGAGAGTCAGGACGTCGGTCTCTGGGGTACGCCATACCAAACACGGCATGAGTGACATGTTCTGGGCGGTGATGTGCGTGGTGATGTGCTGCGCTGGCAGACCCGAGCGGCTGGTTGGTACGGATTGCAGCTCTCAAGCTAAACGTCAAGCTGCCCTGGTGGAGAGGATGGGCTGGAGGATGTGCAAGCTGGCGTCTGGTCGTGGAGACCCGAAGATGCCGGGAGACGGAGCCGAAGGAGCTGGGCTGTGGAAGAGGCCTCGGCCTCGGCGGCGAGGAGCGACGAGCCACAGCTGAGCTGAGGTGCAGTATCCGTAACAGCCACAGCAATATCCGTAGTGGTAGCATCAACAATAGCAGCAGTAGCAATGGTAGCATCCATCGGCGACGTCAGATAGACAAGCGGTATCCGTAACGGAGATGCATCGACGATGCCGGTGACGGATCGTAGTTGCTTTGTGACTCCGTTGTCCGGCCGCGGCAGGGCGTCCGGTGCCTAGCGAGGACATCCATCGGATAATGAAGGGACATGGCCACAGCAAAGTTTTCCAATTCAGCCTCAGAGATTGGACATGCAGGCCGGAGGGCGACTGAATGATGCCGGCGACAATGAGCGAGATGAGGGTCAGGTCGTTGGGGAGCAAGGTAGTGGTTGTGGGAAGGAGGGTTTGGGTCGAGAAGCGGCCAAAGTGGTCTGATTTCGCTGCAGCGTCGAACGTCGCGACCAACAGCCCATTCCTTCCCCCAATCGAACGAGCAGCACGGTCCACCCGGCCCCACCCGTGGCCAATGGGCAGGCAGGACATCATATCAGGTACCTCCCGCCTGTTTTGGCCAGGAAGTGACTTTGCGAATGGTAGCAGCTGCCATCCCCGAGTGTTCCCGTGCGCCCTCACAATTTTCGCAGTGGCCGTGTTCTCGATCCATTTTCGATCCATTTTCCAACATCCCCATTCTTTTTTTCTCTTGGGACTCCCCGTGCTCATTTTCGTTGTCTCTTTTACGTTTTTCCCGGAGCGGAAAGAGATGCTGTTTTTGGTGACTGGCGTCACATGCATCATCTGCGAACCCGAGTCGACAACCCGCGCAGTCACATCGCCAGCAGTCCGGCGGTCATCTTCACTCAGACAACACCACCACAGTCATCGCGATTGACCAGATGAACCGCGCTGCGGATTGGCTCTGTTTGACCTCAGACCTGCCGTGCAGAGTGCTGATCGACATGGCGGATTGCTGTGCCCCGTCCCCTGTTCCCTGTCCGAAGACCGCTGCTGCTTCTCCTCATCTTCCTCCAGCCGAGACTCCAACGCGGGCGCCGTCTGCAAATCTGCAAATCCAACTGCAACCCTCTTTACTAACAAGACCCAGCATGGTCTAGGCACTGACGACAAACGACCTCGGGAAATACGGTCAAAAATCACAATTCACCTCAGCGACAACTTTCATCACCGACCATTCAACCTGTCGCAGACTGAGACGCTGTGTCTGGACTGTCGCCTCGAGATTGGACCGGCCCGGTCTGGCTGCCACATATGCCTGCGACTTTCCTGTCGCTTCAAGGAGGAGATTGTGTTGATCTGGAAACATGGCATCAATTCCGAGATTCTAAGAGGGCAATACGCACTGGAGTTCGCAATGCAGTCGCACTCCCAGACCGCAAATTTTCAAACCCCGACATGCCCCTCCTCGCTTTTCAGCCGCCGAGCTCAGAGGTACTGCGCTGTTCACATCTAAACGGCGAATCCGAAGTCCAGAAGCCGGCGCTCCCGGCCCCAGCCTGCCTCAATGATCGCCGACACAGCGGCTGGGCATGAACGCCGCTGCTCGCTGCTGCTCGTGCTCGGAAGAGGAGGGGCAGAATGCGAGCGGAATGCCCAAAACTGCAGCAACCGACTGCACCACATGTCGCAGGCGTACATTCGCAGATGAGCTGTGCAGCCCAGCGCCAACAACCACGAGCGCAAGCCAGCACACCATCAACACGCGGAGGGCCTTCCGCCCGTCTGCCTGCAGGATCTCATCCGCCCGCATCTGTGCACTGACAGGACCCTGCAGCAGTCCGCGCCAGTCTAGCCTATTCCCGCCGTCCGGTCTTTACCTGCCCTACGAACACACACCTGCAAACGCTGTCGGCCGGTTCAGTTCGGCCGGTCGGGTGGGCGGACAAGTTCATCCCTTTTTTATACCTTGGAAGTCGGCGAGGGGAGTCAAGCGACTCACACAACTTGACGGATTTCCGCGTGGCAAACGGCTGTTTGCTTAGCCGAAGCTGTCATCAAATGCAGCTTTTTTTTTCTTGTCCCTCGTCAACCCCTGGGTGGAACTTCTGCGAAGCGAGTGGGGGACTGGAGGTTGGCATTGTGGTTCCAAGTCAGCCGCTGGCTGGACGCGCCCAAACAACGACGCCGATTTTCTGACGAGTCAGCAATTTGCATGTCACTGATCTACCCTATGGATTGAGAATGACGTGGCCACGCTGCCCAACGGCTGGCCAGGCTTGTTTCTCATGGGAGTTCCGGAAGAAGTTCGGAAGGATTGAGTGATCCACGCAGGTGCTTGGGTCAAGCCGTCCTGTCCCCAATTTGAGATTACTGAACAAATTGCTGAGAGCTCAGGTTTGCTGTCCCATTCTGAGTGACTGGCATTCTGAAGTGAATCTCACGATGCGTTTCTCGCGATGCGTGACTGTTTTCAACTCGACGCCGTGATATCCAAGATATGTGTGAACGGGGTTTATATAGCATCAAGATGCCGGACCAACAATATTGCTATCATCAATATCAAGAACTAACGACCTTCAGACTCCGTCCTCCGTTCAAATCCAGATTCTGCTAACCAGCAAACCAGCACGATGCCTCCCGCGAAGTCTACCACCAAACCCACCTCCCGCCTTCCAGAAGACCCCTTCACCAACATCACACAAACCCTCCCCCCCTTCAACTTCCTCAACCTCCCCCTCCTCCCCCGCCACACCTCCTTCGAAATCATCGCCGAACCTGAGTCCCAACCCTCCCCTCCGAAAACACCACCCTCACAACGGACCCCTCAAACTCCCCCTCGCTCAACTCCGGATTTCAAAACTCCAGAGGCTTCCTCCCCCAAGACCCCTTCACCTTCCGCTCGCCGCACCCTCGCCTCGACGCCCTCGAAGCGAACTCCCTCCTCCACAGCTTCCAAGCGCTCCTTCGACACAGAAGGCGACCTCAAGATGCGCAACGGGGCCTACACCTCACCAGACCGCCGGTACCTTCAGACTCTGCAAGCCGCCAACACCCTGCAGTCCCAGATCCAGGCCGCCGTTCACGACAACTTCGAGTTCGAGCGCTCGCGCTTCGTCAAGGATGTCCGGATTGCGGTGCTGGATAGTCTTGCGGACGAGGTCGCGGGGCGTGTTGACGCGGCGGTTGTTGCTGCTGTCGGAGAGCCTGAGGGGAGTGAACTGGATGCTGTGGTCGCGGTACGGGAGAGGCTGAGGAGGATGGGGGAGGAGGGGCTTGTGCGGGTGTTTTGTACGCAGGAGATGCTGAGTATGTTGAGGAAGGTGGTCGGTATTGTGGAGGGCGAGTTGGGAGTTGGTGTTGCGGGGTGGACTCTGGTTGGGAGTGATTCGTCGGAATGAGGTTGTTTGAATGTACAAGAGACAGCTTCAAGGACTTTAGTAGGACTAGTAGAGAATCTTACAGCTTGTTTAGCTTGTGCTTCAGGTTGGAAACTTAGTCAAATAAAGAGAATAGTGCTATCATATTTGTCCATGGCACAGCGTGCCTTCTAGGGTTTCAAGGAGAACATTTTCACTAGGATCCAGTTTGCGCAGTAAAGAACGCAGCTCAATTGTGAATTTCATTTGATTATTACAGAAGACGGTAATTCATGTGGCACTGATAGCTAGTCTCACTGTGGTTCACTCAATCTCTTGCTCAATGTTGACGAAACGCTTTCTGTTCTGGAGTGACAGACACACCCACAACATGGAAACAACGCCTGAAATATGCTGTTCCAAGGCGGCTATGATCCGTGTAAAGTTCCTAGTGATATCGAGTGATCCAGCTGCTAGTAGATTCAGTGAATCTGCTGTGGCTGTGATTTTGATCCTCTATCTACAGCCATCATCGGCCTCTGGCCAGCTACTGTGACTTTACCCTGCAACTTGTACTGCAACGACGTCCGACTTGCCCCTTCAGCCCGAGCCAACGAGGCTAACAGCCACAATGGTATGGCGGCTACAGTCGGGCTCGACGCGGACAGCTATTCCGGACTCCTAGGCATGTATACTGCGAAGCTACTGGACTGGGCACTGATTGACACTGCTTCTTCCCCTATTTTGAAAACCCTACTGAACGGGCTCGAAAAGTCCTCAACATGACAGCAACCCATGGCCCATTCATTTTCGTTCTTTCCGGTGAAACCAACATATTTTCACTTCACCTCCTCAAGCTTGCGCCTATATGCTGTATGCTGCATGCACATCCCGAAATATGGCGTCCACTTTGCGCCCTTTGCCAACAGAATGTTAACTAGTTTGTAATTCTTTGCCCTCATCGCCATATCCAGGGGAGTCCCAAGGAAAGTGTGGCCCTTGTTGACATTCGCATGGTGTTCGAGAAGCACTTCAATAACGACCATCGCTTTGGCCTTCCTTTCGTCATCTTGAAGCCACAACGCTGCACAACAGAGCATGGTGGTGTTCTTGCCGGCGTCGCCGGCAATGGCGTCGACGTCTGCGCCATGTTGAAGCAATAGTCTCAAGACTGTATCGCATCCTTCATGCAATGAGAGTATCGCGTTATACATAGCTTGAGCCAAAACAACGGGATTTGTTTGATTTTGCTGTTCCCTCTTGGCAGTCTTCAAAAGAAGTTCAAGCACTTCGATGTCAGCGCTGTATGACGCCGATTCAAGAGCCTCATCGAAAAACAATGGGTCCGGGTCCGGGTCCGGGTCTTTCATCAAAAGAATGCTCATGGTTTCCATGGCTCGGTTTGTACACGAGGCATAGAAGGGATCCTTCTCAAATTCTTCATCCTCCTGGTTGAAACTTGCCCCATTTTCAAGCAGCAATTTCACAATCTTAACGTGATTGTATGAAGCCGCATAGTAAAGCGCGGTAAGACCATGCCAGTCTCTTGCATTAACGTTGGCTTTGCTTCTGATCAGCGTTTGAACCACGTCGTAATAACCTCGTTTACAGGCGTCATGCAGACGTTTGCTGCAGTAATTGATGGTGTCAGTGCTCTGAATGTTCTTGAGCAGTAGATGTATCGTAGTCAGGTTTCTGATTTGGCATGCCCACTTGAAAGCCTCCCGACTGACATTAGCGCTCTTGCCAATAAGCAACCCGACAATGCTGGTCTTGCGATTTAGAACAGCTGTTAAGAGAATATCCTGGCCATTGTTGACATTGGCGTCCCAATTGAGAAGAATCTTGGTAACATCTTCATGAGATGCCTCTACAGCAGCAGCTAGAGCGGTCTTGTATTGGCCACCCTGGGCATCGACATTTGCTCCTCCTTTGAGAAGGTGTGACACAATGTCAGCGTAACCTTGGAAAGCGGCAGCTTGAAGAGCGTTGCCGTAATGACCGCCCTCAGCATTGACAATGACAGCATTTACATCCATTTGAAGAATCAGCTTGACTGCAGACAAAACACCATGGAATGCAAAGTGATACAGTAGGGGCTCACGTTGAGAGTCCCGGTTTTCCAGCTGCCGTTGGACATGGAAGTCTGATGACAGGAGACTCATGTGCCTGCGCCTAGGATGACGAAGTTGGTAATATACTTCCTGACAGCTTGGGTCATCGAGAAACTCCTTGATAAACCTGACGCGCATCTTGTTGTCAGCCTGGCCGGCGTAAACAGCCCAAAAGCATGCAGCGTGTGGTGCTAGCGGGTAAGAAGACTGAACTTCGTTCAATGGTTGGACTTTTTTCATCTCCAATAGGTACGCCAAACAGATCTCTGCCATCGACGCCTTGCCAAAGGCCTCTTCAAAAGACCAAAATGTCTGTTGCTTTAATCGCTCAGACAAAAGATATTCCTTGACAGAAAAATGTGAGAGTTGAAGAACTTCAACTTTCTCGCCAAACGGGGAGGTTTCTGTGACAAATTTGACCAAGTTAGGACAATAGACCGAAATTGCTTCCAGGTTCGGCTTTATAGAAGTATTCGTCCTCCGCATGAATCGCTGATTTTCTGGACACACTTGGGTGATCTCGGATGCCTCTTCAGCAAGAAGTGGTGCTTCTGAGTAGAGTAAGAAATAGAGAACTCTCTGCGCCTTTTCCCGAAGCGCCTCGGGGGTGTTTCTGATAATCCTGGCATAAGTCTCGTCTAATGTTGCCGGCAGTGATTTCAATGTCTTTCTGAGGGCATCGTGGTCTTTGGTACCCAAGAGAGGTTCGAGAGCATAAAGTTGGCATGTGACCCAGCGGAACCTTTAGAGCATGTTAGCACGAAGCAACGGAGGACAACAATGTTTTTCTTTACATTCCATGGGCGTTCATCGTCAAATGATCCCTGATTTCATCTTGGACATCTTCATAATCTGTCCAATCTCTCAAGGCATTCCAGCCGCTGACAGTAGTGTCAATGAATCTTCGTATATCCTTGTCAACCTCCCTGGATTGTAGACATATTTGTGTCGAAATGCATGCGTTCAGGACCAATTTAATCCTGAGCTCGGGACGGCTAGTGACTGCCACGTGGAGGTTGGCGTGTTTGTGGTCCAGGAGATGTTGAAGCCATTCAAGCAGACCTTTATTGGCGAGAGTACTTCTGAGTTGGCACTCATCAAGTGCATCCAGCACAATTCATACTTCGTCAGAATCTCCGATCATCTCTTTCAGGATCTCCCGAAGCATGCCAGTGCTGGGCTGCTTTGAGCCTTTCGAACATTTAGAATCATATGCTATTGCAAGGCGCATTTTGGCGGCCGCACTCTTCGTGAAAAGCTGCCAGATGAGCGACCGTATTGCTCCATCAAGCGACTGCTTCGCAGAATCCGCAAAGGTGAAGTAGAAAGAAAGAAGATGCCGACCGTGTGTTTCGCTGCTTTCGAGGTCGTTGATTATGATCGAGCTGAGTACTGTTTTGCCGGAACCTGGCATTCCATATAACCAAAACGACGAAGCAGGTGCCGCCTTCCATCGTGCATACTCTTCAGACTCTAAAAGCCACTTGCCAGTGCCAATGTGGCGCTGTTCGAATGCATCTCGCTGATTTCCGGAAGGATTTGGCGCACCAAGCCAGGTGACGATCTCCTCAAGCAGCTTTTGATCAGTTATGCTTTGAACTGCTTTCTGTGTATCTTTTGTTCTTGATCCAATGCGGGAAACGCCGCGGGACACTTGTACAGCATGAGTATTAGTTCAAAATGTGATGGTATCTGGGAACGGACCTTAGGCCATGACTTCCCGAATCCTTTCAGCTTTCTCTACGCCATTGACCTCTATAACTTCCAGAAGTTCTCTCGTATATGCAGCAGCAACAATCGCTGCATAATTTTGCCATCGGTCATTCTTGTGGGTATCGGCATAGTCGCAGATCCCTCTGATGACGAGACAGGGGAAGTTATTCATCAATGCAGCCGCCTCCATCTCATAGCAAAGAACGTCTGATCCAAGTTGTTGTGTCATTTGATCTCGAAAAGCCCCATCCTTGATGACCAAATTTCCAGAAGCAATGGTCCCATAATGGATCTCGGGGTCTTCACTCGGGCGATTTTCTCGCTCGATCTCGCCTTCGGCGTCGCTCGCAGTGGGCGCAAGATTTGCTGTCACCGATTTTGCGGCGTTTTGTTCCCCCAGAAAGATTTCGAGAAGACCTTTCGCCAGAAATGTGCAGTGTCGTTGATTCAAACAGTCGATCGTTTTCCGAACCTTGGTAGATGAATGCAGGGTCTTTCCCCTTCGGTTTTGCTAGTGTGGGATATTTTTGAATAGCTTGAGACAGGATTTGTGGCAATTTGGATCCCTTCAACCGCTGCTCCGCTTTCAGCTTGTTCAAGACTTTGAGAAGAACATCAGGAGGAGGGGCCAGGGCGCCGACACGCTGGAAATGACCGTTCTCTCTCATCTTGCCTAGGTCGTACTGAACGACTCCAGAATGCCCGTCCCTAGGCTGGCTAACGACGACATCACCAAGGCGAACGTCATTCTCCAAGCTGGGAACTCCTGCGCCAATCCCGACCATAAGACCGATTCGTAGATGTGGGAGCGAAGTGGCCATGCACGTTGCAGTCGTTGCCGCCGAGACCAGGCCGTAACTCCCCGCGCCGAGTGATGCAATGACGATTTTGTGATCCCCAATCTGGCCCCACGAGTAGGTGTTGCTGTCTTTGTTTTTCTGCTCGAAGTCTTCTGGCTGCTCATGTGTCTCATCAAGCATGGCGAGCGCGGCTGTCAGTTCATTGTCTAGAGCAACGATCCAACCGATCGTGTACATTTTGTACGTGGGAAGTGTGGTTGAGTCCGCCATGGCGTCTACACTCACGGCTGTGCATCATGCGTGGAGCGTCAGGTGTAGACGGAGGTAAAAAAAAACTGTTGCAAATGATCTAGGACTTCTAGGAACGGAAGATTGAGTGGAAGATTGTGGGCAAGCGCCCGTGAGTATTTCTACTTCCACAGGCCGTCACCCCCCTGCTTCGATATAGCCAAACTTCAAACTGATTCGTCTGCTGGCCTGATAGGAGGTGCCTGGCTGCTTAGGGGCCGCATGAGTAGTCAAGGGATTGATTGGCTCCATGACGGCTCAGGCTGTTCTCGTGCCGCACTCCAACCAACCACTCTCGTACAATGCATGATTGATGGGGCAGAGCTTTGGGCTGTGATTCGGCGAGACACTGCGATTTGTCGCCGTCCTGCATCTTTCGACGGTTTTGGATATCTTGCGGTCACACCCCAAAATGTAAGTATGCAGCTCAGCCTGATCGCTGCACAGCAAGATGAATTCAAACTCCAAATCCCCTGTCTGATACTCCCCCAGGTATTGGTCACTTGACGCTTTGGCGGTGATCGATCTGGCACTCAATCCGAGAACAAGCCGAGGCTTAACTTTAGCGTTCAGCTGTGGTCTTCTTGCCTAACTATGTACTTGCCCATCCGATTACCTCATACAGAGGTGACTGCCGTGGCTAGCCTTCTTCTGCATCGCCACCAACCTTGGCAGCCACGATGTCTGCACCAGAGCAGCAGGACCAGCTGCCTCTCCTTCTCCCGGCCGTCGCTTCCTGCCTGCCACCGCAGGCCAACGATTGCCGTTGCGCAAGGCTCAATGGTCGAATGGTTCCCCCAGATGAAACCCGTTCATTTTGAAGGATTTCGTTCGATTTCTTCATGGAGAATGGCGATGTCTCCATTTTTTCCGCCGACATCTAGGTAAGTCTCGCTCAGAAGTCCATAGGGGTGGAAACGCAAATGCGGCGAACATTTTGCCACCGGTTGCACCTTGACAGCCCCAAAGGCGAAAAACTTTGCCAAAAAGGAAATACATAAAAAAGCAACTCCCCTGCTCGGGGCGAGTCGAGCCCTCAGACCTTTCAAGTGTTTTTAGCACTTTGCAACTTAGTTGCTTGCTCAGGTCCTATCGTGGCTAACCAGCGCTCAGTCCCAGAGTCAGCCCTACCACGGCTGATCGACCTAGTAAAGGCTGGGGCTACAGCCTTACCTACTCTAGGGGAACTGCCCAGCCCAGCAGAGCTGGACACCCTAGCTACCCAACTGGTCAGCC